CCGCCCCGCCCGGCCGGCCCTCCGCCCGCTCCGTGCCCCGCTGGGCACGCTTACCCCGCCGTCTGCCGCACGCCGGGACGGGCATCCGATGCGGGCTCGCCTCCTACATTTGCCCCCCTAGGAGGAGAAAAATAAAAATAATAATAGTAAAAAAAAAAAAATATCTATCTGCATAATTTCAAATGAGAACGAGAGAAGAAAAAGAAGAAGAAAAAAAATGCAACTGCCACGGCTGCCACGCCAGTCCCGTTAAAAAAATAAAGCACCAAACCCTTACAAGGTGTAGGAGAGATCTTTTATTGGACCAACTTAAATGCAAGAATTTACAGCCAGAATTACACGTTCTTCATCAGCCCAACATGCATCAGAGGCAGAGGCACAGGCAGCAATTTGTGTATTCCCTGGGTCTGCTGAGATGGTTTTGGTGGAGAAAGGGGGTGGGAGAGAGGACAAACCCTCTTTCCCCCCAAAGAGCCTCAGTTTGTGGCTTAGGTAAAAATAAAAATAGGAAAAAGAGAAAAACCACAACCAAAAATCTCTCCAGCGCCCCATTTTGCTCCATCTTTAAGTCCAGTCCAGGATCAATTCTCTCCCTTACATCCTCAGTCATAAACAAACAGCTTCCAGCTAAATCTTTTAAAGGTTAAAAGGAACAAAAACAGAAATAATAATCAAGGGTTTTTTTCTTCTCCTTCTGCTTGTTGGACAGCGCATTTTGGTCAGTCTAGCCTTGCATTTAGGGATGCTACTTGCATTTGAATAGCTGCCTGGCTGGTTATGGATCGGGAGGCTATGAGAGGAATCAGTATGCAAATTGTTTCAGTTACAATCGAAGGGTTCGATCTGGAGAAGGTGCCTGAGCGGAAGTCGCTGTCAGCCAGCGGTGCATTAGGCTGCCATTGCCTCCACCGTCTGGGCCTGCTCTCCCCTTCCCTCACCCTTTTTTATGCTTGTGTACAGGTTTCTCTGGCGGTAATTAAAACATACACACAAATCAGGGGCTGCTGCATATCACGTTGGTGCCTTTTGCAGGCTGCGGGCGCAGGGAAAGGGGGAGTGGAGGGAATATATCGCCATGCTGCTGGGGTTATTATTATGCAGCAAGGGTGAGGCGATCAGTGAAATAAAACATTTATAAATGGTTTCGTGCTTACAGTAGGAGAGGTGGGCCGGGGGGGCCGCCCGGGCACTGATCACACAGAGCAGGCTGCAAATCGATAACCCTTTCCTTGTAATCCCAGTAATTGTGGGAATCACAGCTCTCTGTTAAAGGGACAGCGGGCTGCAGTGGGGGCTGCGCTCAGCAGCTGGGCGGCACAGCCCCTGCCCCCAAAAAGCCCACTCCGGCCTCCCCAGCTTTGTCTGGGAGGAGGCTGGCAGAGCTGCAGGCAGGAGGCAGGGGCAGGCTCTGGCACCCACCCAGAGCCATTTCCACAGTCCCCTTTGTGGTTGCATTAAGGCCCCTGCTGTCACCTGTGGCATCCTCCGCCCAGGGCAGGACAGGTTCAGCACCCCTGGCTTGGGGCACAGAGGGGAGAGAGCAGCCCCTGGGGGCACAGGCAGGGGAAGGGGCTGCCCACAGCTCTGCCTCCCCTGCCCAGCTTCCCTGTGGCTGCCCCATGTCCCCCTGGAGGGCCAGCAACTCGGCCCAGCAGCTCAGCCCAGCTCCTTGCCTTTCCCGGCTCTGGCACTGCCAGGAGCAGTGTGATGCCTCCATCACTCTGTACCGGGCAGGTCTGTGTGAATTCAGTGATGTTTTGCTCCATGGCAGAGGGATGGGAAGGACCAGTGAGGTGCTGGGGTTGGGCTGGCGAGGGCTGTCCCTGGCCCCAGGGTGCCCCTGGTGCAGCACCCCATGCCCATCCCTGCCCGCTGCCCCGTCTCTCCCAGGCGTGTGGCCGTGGGGCTGCAGTGCTGCCAGGCTCGGGGGGTGCGTGGGCAGGAGCGCCGGGGGCGTGGGGCCCTGCTCCTGCCCTCTCCCTGCCGCTGACCATCTGTCATTCAATTAGGGCTGGGAGGCAGCCGAGG